AGGGAAGAGGGAAGTTACCTTGCAATTGTTTGTATGTGGTGCTGAGGATCGAACCCGGGCCGCACACACGCCAGGCGAGCGCGCTACCGCTTGAGCCACATCCCTAGCCCTGAATTTTTTTTCTCTTAAAGCAGCTTTCCAAAAAGACCTTCCGAAAGCCAATTCATATACAGTAATCCCCTTTGTCCATAGTTCCATTTTCCATGTTTTCATTTACCATGGTTGTCTATAGTTTGAAGCATTAAATAGAAAATTTCAGAAAAAAATTTTATTATTGCATGTTATTATTTATAAATTCATCTATTTTGTCTACAAGAAATACATGCAGACTAAAAGTAAATGGATAGRAAAAAAACTAAAAAAATGTAGCTTTATTAATTTCAGATGGAACAGACTTCAGAGCAAGAAAAGTTGTAAAGAATAAAGAAGGGCATGACATAATAATAAAGGGGTAAATTCTCCAAGAAGACATAACCRTCCTTAATATATATGTGCCCAGCAGTCAATATGAGAGGCAAAAACTGACAGAACTGCAAGGAAATAGATGAATCCACCCATTGCATTTGGAAACTTAGGCATGCCTCTGTCAGAGCTGGCAGATCCCAGCAGGCAGAAAACCAGTAGACATAGTTGAGCTCAACAGTTCTATCAATCAACAGGGTATAATTGACATCTGGAAACTGCTTTATCCAGTAACAGCAGATTGCACATTTTTCTCAGGTTCACATGGAACTTTCACCAAGACGGTCACATCCCAGGCTCTAAACACACATTAACAAATAATATTGTATGTCTTTAGAGAATGCAGTAAAATTAAACATGGAAATCAGTAACAGAAATATAACTGGGAAATTCTAAAACATTTGGAGATTAAACAACACATTACTAAGTACATGATCAAAGATAAAATCTCAAAAGATATTTTGAACTAAATAAAAATGAAAAATTACATATCAAAATTTGGGATAGAGTAAAAGCAATGTTTGAGGAAAAATGTACAGCATTCAGTGCATAYACTAGAAAAGAAGAAAAATCTGAAATCAATAATCTAAACTTCCACCTTAGGAAACCAGAAAAAGAAGAGAAAACTAAATTTGAAGTTATCATAGAAGAAATGAAGTTTCATGAAGAAATGAAATAAAAATCAGAGCAGAAATGCATTGAGTTGAAAATCGAAAATCAGTAAAATCAAAAGCTGGTTGTTTCAAAAGATCAATAAAATTGACAAACTACTAACCAGACTTGAGAAAAAAGGGAGAAGACAAATTGGAATAGTAATATTAGAAATGAAAGAAGGAATATCACTACAGATCCTGTGGACATTAGAAGGATAATGAATAGTATAAACAACTCTGCCCACATTGATAACCTAGATAAAATGGACCAATTTCTTGAAAGACACAATTGCCAAAACTCATATAAGAAGAAATAGACAACCAGAATAGGTCTATATCTACTAAAGAAATTGAACTGGTAATTAAAAGCCTTCCAAAATAGAAAGCACCATTCCTAGATGGGTTTACTGGTGAATTCTACCAAACATTTTAAGGAAAGAACTATCTTCTCCACAGTGTTTTACAGAGGATAGAAACAGAGGAGATACCTGCTAACTTTTGCTAGGAGGTCAGCATCACCCTAGTACTGAAACCAATCAAAGACATTTCAAGAAAGTTACTGTCAGGTATGGTGGTGAGCACCTGTAGTCCCAGCTRTTTTGGAGATGGATGTTAGCACAGAAGTTCAAGACCAGCCTGGGCAACATAGCAAGAGCTTATAAAATTAATTTTGTCAAATCCCATTATGTCAAAAATAGATGTAAAAATCCTTAACAAGATATTAACAGATGCAATCTAGCAATGTATGAAAGGAATTACCATGACCACKGGAGGTTTATCCCAGGTATACAAGGCTGGTTCAACATTTGAAAGTCAATTAATATAATCTGTCACATGTATAAATTAGTAAAGAAAAAACCACAATAAAATCAATACATGCTTTTTTTWAAAAAAAAGCATTTGACAGAACTTAATACCCATTCATCTTAAAAGTGCTAAGCAACCTCAGAATAGAGGAAAACTTAATGGTAAGAAACAAGAAGCTTTGTCTCTAAGATAGGAACAGAAAGAGGATGTCCCACAGCACTCTTCCTTTTCTGTGTCACACTAGACGTCTTAGCTAATGCAATAACACAAGAAAAGAAAGGGTATACAGTATAGGAAGGAAATTTTAATGATTATCTATAGAAAATCTGAAAGAATAGATCCGATCCCCCTCCAAAAAAACTTTCAGAACTAATAAATGATCATATCAAAGTTGCAGGATACAGGATTAATACACAAAAGTCAATTCCTTTCCCATACATCATCAAAGCACAAGTGGAATTTGAAATTAAAAACACAGTATCATTTACATTAGCATCCAAAAAATGAAAAAACATCTAAATTTCTGTACCACACAAGACATGTCAAGAGAAAAAGAAGGCAAAAAGACATATCTGATAAATGACTATTATCCGAAATGATGAAAGAGCTCTTAAATTCAGGGCTATGAAACAACCAAACAATTAAAAAATTGGCARAGAAGATATATAGATGGAAATTAAGCATATGAAAAGATATTCCATGTCATATGTCATTAGGAATTGTGGCTTAAAGTTACAAGAGACCACTGCATGCCTGTGAGAGTAGCAAAATCCAGAACATAGACAACATCAAATGCAGGCAGGGATGTGGAGCAGCAGGAGTTCTTGTTTGTTGCTGGTGGGAATGCAAAATGGTGCAGCATTCGTGGCATCATGGCAGTTTCTTACAAAGTAAAACATTCTTACATGAAATCCAGCAACTACAGTCCTTGATATTTATCCAAATGAGTTGAAAACTTAAGTCCAAGCTAAATAACGGCTTTATTCATAAATACTAAAACTTGGAAGCAATGGAGATGGCCTTCACTAGATGAATGGATAAACTGAAACATCAAAACAATGTGATATAATTCAACACTGTGAGCTATCAACCTACAGAAACACATGGAGGAAACTTAATGCACTAAGTAAAAGGAGCCAAACTGGAAAGACTACATATTACGTCAATCCAACTCTGTGACAGTTTGGAAGAAACAAAGTTCTGGAAAGAGTAAAAAGATCAGTGGTTGCCAGAGCATGAGGCAGGGGGTGATAGGGAGGAAACAGAGCACAGGGGATTTTAGGGCAGTGAAACTCTTCCTTACATACTACATGATAAACACAGGTCATTGTACATTTGCCCAAACCAATAGGATTGCACCAAGAGTGAAGCCTGATGTAAACTATGGAATTCTGGTGATAATGATGTATCACAATAGGCTCATCAACTGAAACAGATGTGCTGTTGTGGTGGAGGATGTTGGTAGTGGGAGAAGTTGATCATATGTGGGGCAAGAAATGTATGGAAATTCTACTTTCTGCTCCATTTGACTGACAGCCTTAAAAGCTCTGTGTTTTAAAAACATTATGGTGAGGAAGATCTGTTAACCTGCAAAAATATTAACATTAATGATTATGAAATAAGTTCTATTTTTTTTATTTCTTTTTCTCCCTCACTGGACTTGTGGGGGAAAACWCTGTTCCTACCTCCTGGTGCCTAGCCAATAGTAAAAATAACAGTAATAACTGAACGTTAAAATAGTGGATTTAATTATGTGTTGGCTACTGCTCTAAATGCTTTATTTATGCTCATTTAAATTTTGCAACAACCCTTTGAATTACATATTCCAAATTTACAAATGAAGAAACTAAGGCACAAAGAGGACAAAACAGCTTGCACAAATTTACATAATTAGAAAGTGATAGAAACAGAATTTGGATTCAGACAGTTTGGCTCCAGAACTTGCATTCTTTGCCACTAACTTGCACCACCTTTGCTTAGAAGGCAATCAACAAGTATTTGTTGGTTGGTGACTAAATGATGAATACGTAAGTAATCAAATGAACAGAAAAGCAACTTATTATATTGGTATTTTTAGTTTTTTCCCCCCTGTGCTGGAGAATCAAACCCAGGGCCTTGTGTACATTAGGCAAGCACTCTACCACTGAGCTATATATATCCAGCTGATTTAAAAAATTTATTCATAGGGGAGAAGTGTTGGGGAGCCAAATTAGGCAAAATATATTGTAATATTGTGTGCATGTACTAATATGTAACAACAAATCCCACCATACTATACAACTCTAATGCACCAATAAAAAAAATGTTGGGAAAAAATTCATGTGAAATATCCAAGTGTCCTTCAGCAGTAACAGAGATAATAAATTGTGAAGTTGCACTGTGGAATATTATGCAGCAGTGAGAAATACAGGATGCAGCTTCATGTGATAGTATGTTTGATTCCTATAAGGGTAATGTTAAACAAAAAAAGTCAGACACTGAAGAGTGCCTACTGTACTGTTCACACAAAGGACACACAGACAGGAGTCTGTCCTCTCTCACATCATACTGCTGGTAGCACTCAGGGTGAGGACTGGAAGGAGGCTTCTGAGAACTGGGAATGTTCTTTCTGTTCCATCATCTGCCGCAGGTTACATGGGTATGTTCCAGTTGTAAAGATCTTTGAGATATACACTTCCGTTTCTCCAGTGGCTACCATGGGGAGTGCGGATTTGAAAAGATGAATAAGAGTTTGAAAGTGTATTAACCAAAATATTAGCAGTAGACATTTCTGGCAAACAGTGGCAGTTTTCAGTTTATTTTTTGAGGCATTCCTTAGGCTTTCCAGGTATAAGAAAATTGTTTTGTATGTGATAAAATTTTTAAATGCAATTAAAATAAACTTGCCCCTGAATCAGTGCTTGCTTCCCTCAGCATGAGTAGAACATGGGATTCTCCCCTGATTGGTAAAAAGAGACACCACTGGCTGCTTGGCTTACCTGCCTGGCTCTAGCCCCCAGTCTCTCAAGCCTTGCAGCAGGTAGCAGGGATTTATAATTAATATTCTGTGGGTTTCTTGTGTTTTTATTTCTTTCCCAGGCTGAACAGTCAAGAGAAGAACAGAAACAAGATTTGAATGCAGAAAAATTGATGAGGCAAGTCTCCAAGGATGTGTGTCGACTTCGGGAACAGAGCCGGAAGGTGCCTAGGCAGGTGCAGTCCTTCAGGTGAGTGGCCCTGCCCAGAGATAGTTTTTGGATTATGCCAGTCATCTGATTCTGTAGGAATTCACTTCAGAGTGCAGTGAATGTTAATATCAGAAATTGAGGATTTTATGTGACCTATTTCAAATAAAGTAATTCAAGTATTTTAAAATACCCTGGTTTTTGAGTGTACCTCGAGGTCTCCACCAACATCATGCCCACACTCTCTTGCCTTTTGAGATTCTTTATTTTATTTATTTTATTTTCTTTATTTTATTTTTTTTATTTTTTAGATTCTTATTCAACTGAACTAATCTAAAGGACACTATATCACAAAAACAACTCTCAACCCAGTCTCCTCAGTGTTTTTACTCTTCCTTTTCTTTTCTACCTTTCCTTAGTCTTTAGACAGAAAACATCCTCCCCAGTTCTTGTTTCTAGCCCCACTCTCCCTCTGCCATTGAGTCAGTCTGTTTCTCAAGTGGGGCCAGTGCTCCATCCTTTATGGCTACCAGCATGACCTTCCTGTGCCCCAGAACTGTGTTTAAGGAATGCTATGTACCGTGTGAGGTTTTGTAAAAAGATAGATTGCTCTCACCTTTGATGACTAACTGTATAATCCTAAAATCTTGTTCTTTCTGGTACTTTTCTAACTTGAAAACTGTCTATCTGGTCCTTCTCAGCTTCTCCCTTGTGGGTTGCTTCTTCTTATCCCTGCTTTGAGATACAGGGCGGTTTTTCCCTCTAAGCTGATCAGGTTTCTCATSTCTCTCCATTTGTGTCATGGTATACTCACCCGGTTGTCCCTGCCTTAGCATGATGCTAACTGAAAAAATTTTCCCTGATATTATGGATTCTTCTGTGAGGTCACTGGGAAGGGCAGAATTTTGGCCCTTTTGAATCCTCTACTATCTTATTTAGAAACACCTAGATTTTTTAAAATGGTCTTATGTTGGAAATCCCCAAAGGAAACTGGCTGGGTCTATAGGTGATTTACCATAGCCAGAGTTGTTTTTGTTTTTGTTTTTGTTTTCTTTTCCTACCTTTAAAAAGCAGAGACTGTCTTGATTGTAAATGGAGTTCTATCTGAGGAAAAAATCTCCCATCTGGGCTTGTGGGAACACTGCTAATTTCTTAGAAGTATTTTAATGCAGGATTTTTTTATGAGTACAAATTATAATTATACGTAACAGTGGGATTTATTGCACCTTACTTATACATGACCATAACATAATCTGGTCAGTATCATTCCTTTACCTTCCCTCTTCTCTCCCTTCCACCATCCACCTGTTCTACTCTACTGATCTCCCTTGTATTATTATTTTAATTAGTGCATTTATATATAAAAGTGTGATTCATTGTGGGATATTCATACATGGACAGAGCATAATTTGGTAGATTTCATTCCCTAGTACTTCCCCATGCCCTCCTCAACTTCCTCCCTCTCAAACCCCTTCCTGTATACTCTGTTGGTTTCCCTTCTATTTTTGTGAGATCCCTTTTTCTTCTTCTGTTTTTTTCTTTATTCTCACTAGCTTTCACGTATGACAGAAAACTTCTACCCTTGACTTCCTGAGCCTGACTTATTTCACTTAGCATAATGTTCTCTAGTTTCATCCATTTACTAGCAAATGACCTAATTTCATTTTTTTATGGCTGAGTAAAATTCTGTTGTGAATTCRTATCACATTTTCTTTATCCAATTTGTCTGTAAGTGGACACCTAAACTAGTTCTGGCACTTTCCTAACTTGAAAACTGTCTGTCTGGTCCTTCTCAGCTTCTCCCTTGTGGGTTGCTTCTTCTTATCCCTGCTTTGGGATACAGGGCAGTTTTGGCCACTGTGAATTGCACTGCTATAAACTTGTATGCTGGCTTTAGTTCTTTTGGATAAATAACAAGGAGTGGGGTATTTGGATCATAAGGTGATTCCATTCCTAGTCTTTTTAAATATTTTTTTTAGTTGTACATGGACACAATACCTTTATTTTATTTATTTACTTATTTTTTTTAGTTGTAGTTGGACACAATATCTTTATTTTATTTATTTTTTTATGTGGTGCGGAGGATGGAACCCAGGGCCTCGAACGTGCTAGACGAACGAGCCCTCTACCGCTGAGCCACAATCCCAGCCCCCTGTTTATTTTTTTATGTGGTGCTGGGGATTGAACCCAGTGCCTCACACATGCTAGGCAAGTGCTCTTCCACTGAGCCACAAACCTGGCCCCCATTTATAGACTTTTAAGAAATCTTCATACTGCTTTCCAGTATGCTCATTTACAGTCCAACCAACAATGTAAAAATGTACTCCTCCACCACATCCTCACTAGCAATTGTTGTTATTTACATTCTTGATGTTTGCCATTCTAACTAGAGTGAGATAAAATAAGATCTCAGTGTTCTTTTGATTTGTGTTTCCCTGGTTGCTAAGGATGTTGACCATTTTGAGCATCTAGCTGAAGTTGGTGTTCTCATCCCCACCTCTAGGGAGAAGATTGCCTACTTCACCCGAGCGAAGATAAGCATCCCGTCCCTGCCAGCTGATGATGTGTGACTTCATGGCTTAACAAATTGTTTCTCACCTGTTTACTTTCTTAGGGAGGGCAAAAGACTGAACATTTGCTTTTTCTTTCTTTCTTTCTTTTTTTGTAACATATAATTGTCAACTCTTGAAGAATTTTCATTTTATACCAGATTTTCAATATGTTAATTTGTAAAGTAACTTGAATGTAATCCTTATGTGTTTAAAGAAAGACAAAACATCTGATAACAAAAATGGGATAATCTGGCACACCAATGTGCAGTGCACGTGTGTCCCCAGTGGCTCCATCGCGGATGTGGACAAGAGGCAGTGAGTACCAGTGTCTACCCCTGAGCTGACTGCTGGGAAGCAGCTTGTGTCAGTGGCATTYTGGGCTTTTCTTTGTTTCCTTGTGAGGAGACTGTGAAGGTGGCAGTGGTGCCATACAGTGTTTCTGAGCTAGAAAGCTGCTCTTCCTGTTGGCAGTGAGCACAGAGCTGAGTCCTGCACAGGTGCTRTGCTCATTCCCATCACCTGTGTCAGAACACTTAAGTTCCTTAAAACAGCTTCCTCTCTGTCCTTTTCATAATTGTCTTTAGACAACTATACTGAATGTAAGGATATGAAGAATGCCAAGGAGCAGTACTCCTTACTACCTTAAAGATCTTAGACATTGAGGGCAAGGTGGAAGAGAGAAGCACACCAGAAATCCTAAAATACACTACAGGGGCTCAACAGAGGAGCAGCTGCTACTTCTGACTTCACCTGAATTTGCAAGTGATCCAGTTTCTAGTCTGCACCAATGCTCTGTCCTAGGCGTGAGAATGGTGCCAGCGAGAAGCTCATGGGGTCCTGGGTTCCAGGGCCAGACAGCACTGTGAGGTGGAGGGGACGCATTCTCACTCATTGGTGAAGCCAAGAACAGAGGAAATGGTGTGTCTTAATTGAATTAAAGTTGCCAAAATAAATAGTTTATCAAACAGATTTCTGACATTTACTAGAAATCACTTTGCAGCTCTCATTTTTAAGGGATTCTATCTATAATTTGTGGTAAGTAGTTGGGAAGCAAAGGAAAGAGTGCCTGGGAGGGAATTATTAATTTGGAGAATAAGGTAAATCATTTGTTTAACAAGAAGGAAAGAAAAAGAAACTATTTTGGATGAACAAGTTTGGCAATATAAACTGACTAAAGCGTCCTGTTTCCCACTGTAGAATTTTAGCTTACACAGCCCAGGCACTTCTTTAAAGAAATAAGTCCTCAGTATAGCTTTGCCACCAAAAGGCTTTTACAGTATATAGTCTATAGGCAATTTAAGCCATACTTATTATTCAGTCTGTTATACTGGAAGAAGCRGTTTTTGGTTAGCTGTCTTGTATAGCAAACTAAGTCCTTTTTTTTTTTAAGAAATGCAAAGTCATCTTAAAGAAGAAAAAGTTTTGTTCCTATGCTAGAATTCTCACTAGCAAAAATTTTTATTTTCTTGAAACTAATTATACATATTTTGGAAAATTTATTTTATCAGAATCAAAGCCCTTAAGCAGTTTCTGAGCCTAAAAGTTTCTTTTTTTTCTAAATATTCCATAACTCAAATGCAAATTTCTTGGATGATATAACTGGATGTGACCCCTGCCTTGAACAAAACCCAGCCTATTGATAGACTGTACAGTCCTTCTAGGCTGCCCAATCTAGTGTTAAATGAATAAGGCAAATTAGAAAAAAAATACCATTCATCCTTGTTAAGGTCAAATGTGAAAGAAGTTTATTTAATGTAGAGTTAAATGAAGGTCAGCTGTTTTCAGCTTCTTAGTTTGACCATGAAAATGTTTATAGAACTTGTGTAGTTGTGCCGTACGATTTTATTTTCTTCATTTATTTATTTACGGTCTTATTTATGTTCTGTTTAATATATAGTTTGGTTCTGGCCATTTTAAATGTTTGACATAGAAGAGGCTATATTGGAGTATTTTACAGCTTTATAAACTTCACCAGATTAACTGTTAACTTTTTGTAATACAAAAAGTTTCAGACAAGTATTAAAGAATAAAATCTGTCTCAGGCTGGTAGTTAACAGTGTGACCAAGAGACTTTTGGTTTTATTTTACAAAATTTGCTTATTCTAACATGAGAGGCAAACTTATTTTAATATAATCCTTTCCACGCTTTAAAAATCAGCAATGGTGTTATGTATTTATAGGCAGCTTTTAATACTCTTGTCATATTTGTACTAACCCAAAAGATTCACAATGACAAAACATTTTACTGACTTTGATCACAAAACCATATGGACAAATATGAATTTTAATATAAATACTATTTTAAAAAGGTAGAATTTATTCTGCACAGGGTAAAAAGAATGTAATATTTAGATCTCAATTTTGAATTATCAGTATGTTATTACAATTTTGTATATCAGAATCTTAAGTGTTACAGGTACAAAAAGAATATTACTAGCCAAATGAACAAAGTTTAGCTGAATCTCTGTAGCATGCAAATCCAATAAAATTAAAGTTGTTTTTTTTTTTTTTTTGCTATGGCTTTATATTGTATTAAATATCAAAAGCTCAGGATTGAACTAAATATTTAATCAGGTTAAATTCTGAATATGTTCCTGCTTTAATTTGTCCTGTTTGTCAAAGTTTGCAAATATATCACATAGATTAACTTTGGTTTCTGCACTTTCCATGTGTTTGCGGATGGGGAAAAAAAATTCAATTTTTTTTAAACAAAGATACATATTGCTTAATACTTTAGTGTTGCCTATTGTTCAGTTAATTTCCTTGATTGGCACAAACACAAGAGTTTACTTGGATTATGTATCAAGCAAATACAAAATGTTCCACAAAGAATTCCCCGAGCCAGAAGTTTGCTTTGAGTAGCTCTTGTTTGGACTATATGTATTGCTGACTTTAAAGAGAAGAAAAATGGAGCATCTTCCTTGTGCAAGGGAAATGAAGGGCTCCCAAGTGCATGCTCTGGCATAGCACACCTAAGCTGGCACTATGCCTTCTGCCCACGCACGCCAGTCTGGACCTGCCATGCCCCCTGTGGCTGCTCAGAGCCAGGGGAGGATAGGAAGGTCGACCATGAAGTGAGCATAGGACACAGAAGCAGATACACATTTGTGTGGCAGATTCTACATGAATCTTCCAGAACACAGGATTGCCCTCCTCTGCTTGAGGACATGAATGAATGTRAAGAACTTCTGGAACAGGTACCATAGAGGCACTGAAGCCCCTGATTGAAAAGGATGATTCAAAACCTTTAAATAGCCAGCAATTTTTTAGTGTAATCAGGTGTCATGCATTTAAGATAAATATGCAGAGAGATCTTAGTTTCATTATTATAGGTTATCCTGAAAACCTGAAGGAAGTAAATGATTAGCAGTAATGTTTCCAATTGCCAAAATTATTCATCTCCATATGAATAATACCTTCAAAGATATGTAACTACTAAAATGACATTGCATTTACCAGTTTTGTGCAATCACTGAGCCTGTTTTAAAATTGAGAGAACTCTTATACAGAAATGAATGTGATTACTATTAGGTCTTGATTGGTTTTGGTCCAAGTAGAAAATAAATGTTGTTTACCAGTCTTAGAAAAAAACTGTTTTTTAAAGAAACTAATAGCATTTTAGGTAATCAAAAGCATAATGAGTGGGTGACTGTGCAGCAGGAGATCCTACCRAATCCAGAGTTGAGCAAGCATCACCTTGAAGAGTAGATACCACTGATCCCTCCTGGCTTAGACTTTTGGGTTGGGGCTTTTCATCTCTAGTTGTTGACAGTGATCTTGCATTTCTGCCACTGCATAGTGGCCAGAAGCTCCAGGGGCTGGGGTGGAACAGGCTGCACAGTGGAGCAGACACCCTCCTAGCAGAAGAGAAAAGCCAGCAGACCAGCCAGTAAAGAGGGCTTCCCCAAACTCCCACCTGGGAACAATCTCTGGGATGGTCTCGTCCCAGAACTCCTGAACTGTCAGGTAGGCAACCCAGGAGACTGGAACGAGGGCTGTGACTCCCGAGGTCCAGAACAGAACTCCTCCCAGGATTAACAGTCGCTTCTTGAGATCTTGCTGTCTGTCTGCAATTTTCAAACAGTCCAGGCCAAACCCTGAGACCAGCAGGCCCAGGAACCCCAGCCCGTTCGACAGAAACATTAAGATCCGGGAGATTCTGAGTTCAGCCGGCAAAGCCAAGAAGGAATCAAAGTCCTTGCACTGCCTCCCCACTTCCTCCTGGATGACGCAGGTTTTCCAGAGTCCCATGGTCCAATTTTCCATTTCATTTAAGTCCAGGTTGAGGTTCTTCCAGTGYGGCAGATAGTTTGTAAGGCAGGATAAAACCCATCCCAGCACAGAAAATAAAAGTCCAATAGACTGCATTGCTATTCTAAAGACTAAAGCCATCATGAAGTCCCGCCAGGCTTAGCCAACCCTACTCCTGCCCTCCGGTTGCTATGAAAAGAAGTGTGACACTTGAGTTATCTCTTGTGGAGTTCATAAATATTTTTTCATTGTGTATATARGAGGATTCTTGCCAGAGTTGATACTGTTTGATTCCATGATGAAAAGTTCTCAGAAAAGGATAGGGAAATAATGCTGTAAACCAGTAATGCCAAGGTGTGGCCCAGATCATATTCATGTCCTATGGTCTGAATTCTGTAGAAAGCACTTTGTCAGTGAAATAAATTAAGTAGTACTAATCCTCCTTTCATTGTTAAGATATAAATGGCTTTCTTGTTGTTCCTTTTCTAACAAGTCAAAGAATTAAGAAGTCTAAATGCAAAAATGTTTAATTAAAGGTTTTGGTTCAGCTCCTCCTGCTTTCTATCATGCTAATTGCACCTGTCAGATTTTCTTCTGTTACAGTTCTCACATTTCAATGTGTATGTTATGATAATACTGAGAGTTTTCATTTTTAAAAAAAAAATAGGTTCAAGAAAAGTATTTCTTAACCAAATAAATCARTCTTATCAGAAATCTCTAGACCTTAAGTCAGGCCTGTTTTTTAAAATCTCTTTGGCTACATTTAACACCTAGCATATGAAACAATACTGAATTAAATATCAGGTCTGGTCTGCTTATCTACATGCCTTTCTCTTAAATTCACTCAAGTGTGCATAAGCACTTACTATTTTTTTGTTTTGTTTTGTTTTGTTTTTCCTTTGCTGAAATGTTTTCTGTGCTGTGGAAAAGTTATGCAATAGAACTTTGTACAACACTAAATTTAATCTGTATTCCTGTGTTTGTAATTTTAGTTGCGCACAGGAATATTTTAATTCCAGCAAATGAACTGATGATATTTAGATGTTAAAAAAAAATCTTTGGAATTGTTCTTTTTTAAATATGATGTTTAAAAAAAATCTGCTTCATTAAATTAGACAGGGTGCCAGGAATTTCTAAACACAAACCATTTTATTCAAAGAAGATCAGTTATTGTTATGGAAATGATAACTTTGGGATTGGCTTAGCATGTGGTTTTACTGATGGAAAATAGTTCAGATTGTTGTTATTTTCTTTAGGAGACAATATCATTTCCAACTACTAACAAAACAAGCTTTCCAACACAAAATGAATACATTAAAACTCCATACTATGTTGGACAATCACCACCACATATTTATTTAAGTAACCAGATCAATGACATTATTTTCCTTCATACCTATGAAATGCTTGCCATAACAATTTTCTTTTAGATAGAAGACTTCCCTTCATTCATCTCAAGAATTGGGAAGAAAGAGCTTAGTATAGAAAAGTAGTCTTGGAGTGAGAAAATATAAGCAGCACAGATTTAGTTACTTAACAAAGACCCTTTTGTCATCATAGGTGGTACAGAAGATGACTGGCCTTGTCGGCAACCTACACTTTAGGATCTGTAGTTCCATTTTCCAGATATGGACACTGAGTTTGCATTTCTGCCACTGCATAGTGGCCAGAAGCTCCAGGGGCTGGGGTGGAACAGGCTGCACAGTGGAGCAGACACCCTCCTAGCAGAAGAGAAAAGCCAGCAGACCAGCCAGTAAAGAGGGCTTCCCCAAACTCCCACCTGGGAACAATCTCTGGGATGGTCTCGTCCCAGAACTCCTGAACTGTCAGGTAGGCAACCCAGGAGACTGGAACGAGGGCTGTGACTCCCGAGGTCCAGAACAGAACTCCTCCCAGGATTAACAGTCGCTTCTTGAGATCTTGCTGTCTGTCTGCAATTTTCAAACAGTCCAGGCCAAACCCTGAGACCAGCAGGCCCAGGAACCCCAGCCCGTTCGACAGAAACATTAAGATCCGGGAGATTCTGAGTTCAGCCGGCAAAGCCAAGAAGGAATCAAAGTCCTTGCACTGCCTCCCCACTTCCTCCTGGATGACGCAGGTTTTCCAGAGTCCCATGGTCCAATTTTCCATTTCATTTAAGTCCAGGTTGAGGTTCTTCCAATGTGGCAAGTAAGTTGTAATAATGGATAAAACCCATCCCAGCAAAGATAATGAAAGCCCAACAGATTGTGTTGCTATTCTAAAAGCTAAAGCCATTGCAACAAATCTTGCAACTTTGCCACCCTATAGGATCTGCTGTCCTTTGTGGTTGACAGTAGTGTGACAATCTTGCTTCTATGCTGCCTGGAATATAAGCTTTGGTCATTAACTCTTTGGGCTCTCTGAAGTGTGTTTTTGTTCCTCTTGAATATAATGTTTCATGTAAAGGATGGAGGACTCTGTTAAAACTATGAGTTAGGCTTTCTGATAAGGATTTGATCTGTTACCTTCCAATTTGCTTGGTAAAATTATATCCTCAATGCTTGATGATTATAAGACTAAGGATGAACAAAGAGGGCTCTATGACCCTCACCCTAAAGTACAACAGAAATCTTTGTGCTTCAATATGGATTAATTAGATTTTAAGTGGTGATAAAAGGCCAGCTCTTTCTACAACAGGACTTCATTGTAGTAGCTGAATCTGAGATTCCAGGGATGCAAAACAAGGCCTTGTAAAGAAAGGTAGACTGTTTCCCTATAATCTGCATTCTTCTCCAACTACCTTAACCTACACAAGAGCCTGGCCCATGTTCTTGAGTGTCACAGGGACTCAGTTGGAACTTGGCAGAAAGATTTCCCTTGGATTCCTTTGAAAGGTAGAGGCTGGTTCACTGGGTTAATTAAAATGGAAAGACCTGAAGCTTATGCCCAGAGGTGCTAAGTGGGGAAGGGAGAATCCTGGGAAACTCCAGTTTTCCCCTGCCACTTTCTCTGTCTTCATTAAGGGCTCCAGGTAAAGCAGGCAGTCTTGGTACCCAGGAAGGTGTGTTTGGGCCAGAGCCAAGTGCCCTCTTTGTTTCAGCTGCAAAGGCGGAGAAACTCCAGGCAGCAAGACTCCTGCCCCTTCCAAGACAGATAGCTCTGGTAYGGAAACAATATTCACAATGGAGCTCACCTTTGAGGCTGCTGCTTGTGGTTTGGGTTTAGACCACACCTTGAGAGCATACCTCTGCAGAGCGTGACCCTCAGTGAACCCAAGGCCTCTGGGCCAGGGTGAAGGGCCACATGCTCCAGATTCTCCAACTCTGGCATAGCCCAGCTCCTCTCCAAAGGCCCCACACTGAGAAGACAAGATCCGATGGGCTGAGAGAATGTGCACATTCTAAAGTGAAGCCCCTGCCCTGGAACATTCCAGCCATGTAGAGCAGAAGCTCTGCATATCGTGTTACAACGAGTTGAGTTCAGTCCAAAGTCAGAGAAGATCTTTTATGATGTTGCTGAGTARGAGATCAAAGGGACATATCCTAGATCCTGAAGTACCCAAACTAAGCATAAGAATTGGATTAGAAAGGGGTGGTACTCAATCTTTTCCCTTCATCTTTTTTAAAAATAGATTCTAATTTTTTAATGTGTTTTTTTAGATATACGTGACGGTAGAGTGTATTTTGACATATTATACATGGAGTATAACTTATTCTAATTGGGATCCTATTGCAGTTGTACATTATGTAGTTTCATTGGTGGTGTATTCATATATAAACATATAAAAGTATGTCGGATTCCTTCTGTCTTTTCTATTCCCATCCCTCCACCATTCCCTTTATTCCCCTTTGACTAATCCAATGAACTTCTATTCTTTGCTCCCTYCCCTTTGTTGTTTGTTAGCATCTGTATATCAGAGAACATTCAGCCTTTGGTTTTTTGGAATTGACTTATGTCATTTAGCATGATAACCTCCATATCTTTCCATTTACTGGCAAGTCATAACGTCACTCTTTTTTATGGCTGAGTAATATTCTATTGTGTATGTATGCCACATTTTCTTTATCCATTCATCTGTTGAAGGGCACCTACGTTGGTTCCATAGTTAATGTGAGTTGAGCTGCTATAAATATTGATTTGGCTGCATCTGATTTTAAGTTCATTGGGTATAAACTGAGGAGTGAGATAGCTGGGTCAAATGGTGGTTCCAAGTTTTCTGAGGAATTTCCTTACTGCTTTCCAGAGTGGTTACAYAAATTTGCAGTTCTACTAGCAAAGTATGAGTAAAGCTTTTCCCCACATCCTCGCCAACATTTATTGTTACTTGTTTTCTTGATAATTGTCATTCTGAATGGAGTGGGATAGAATATCAGTGTAGTTTTAATTTGCATTTCTCTAATTGCTAGAGAAGTTGTATATTTTTTCATGTATTTGTTGACCAATCTTATTTCTTATTCTGTGAAGCACCTGTTCAGTTCCTTTGCCTATTTATTGATTGGGTTATTTGGGTTTTGGGGGGTTTTTGTTTGTTTATTTGTGTGTTTTTGTTGTTGTTTTTGTTTTTTTGTTATGAAGATTTTTGAGTTCTTTACATATCCTGGAGATTAATGGTATGTCTGAGGTACAGGTGGCAAAGATTTTTCTCCCATTCTGTAGGCACTAKCTTCATGTTCTTGATTGTTTCCTTTGCTGTGAAGAAGCTTTTTAGTTTGATGCCATCCCATTTATTGATCCTTGATTTTAGTTCTTGTGCTTTAGGAGTCCTATTGAGGAAGTTGGTTCCTAAGCCAACATGATGGAATGTTGGGCTTACATTATCTTCTAGTAGGTGCAGGGTCTCTGTTCTAATGCCTAGGTGCTTGTCCACTTGAATTGAGTTTTGTGCAGGCTGAGAGATAGGGGTTAAATTTCATTCTGCTACATGTGGGTTTCCTGTTTTCCCGGCATCATTGGTTGAAGAGGCTGTCCTCCAATGTATGTTTATGGAGGCTTTGTCTAGTATGAGATAACTGTATTTATGTAGGTTTRTCTCAGTGTCCTCTATATTCTGTTCCATTGGTCTTCATGCCTGTTTTGGTAGCACTACCATGCTCTTTTTGTTACAATAGTCTGCAAATATAATTTAAGGTCTGGTATTGTAATACCTCCTGACTTACTCTTCTCACTAAGGATTGCTTTGGCTATTCTGAGACTCCTATTTTTCCAAATGAATTTCATGACCGCTTTTTCTATTTCTATGAAGAACATCATTGGAATTTTAATAGGAATTGAGCTAAATCCGTCTAGCACTTTTGGTAGTATAGCTATTTTAACAATATTAATTCTGCCTATTGAAGAACATGGCAGATCTTTCCATCTTCTAAAGCCTTCTTCAATTTCTTTCGAGTTCTTTAGTTTTCATTTTGAGGTCTTTTACCTCTCTTGTTAGATTAATTCCCATTTTTTTTTGTTTTATTTTTTGAGGCTATTGTGAATGGGACAGTTTTCCTAATCTYTCTATCAGCTGATTCATCATTGGTATATAGGAACACAATGGATTTATGGGTGTTAATTTTATATCCTGCTCCTTTGCTGAATGCATTAATGAGTTTTAGAAGTTTTCTGGTGGAGTTTTGGGGGTCTTCTAAATATAGGATCTTTTTTTTTTGCAAATCAGCTAGTTTGAGCT